TGTTGTGTTGTGTTGTGTTGTGTTGTGTTGTGTTGTGTTATTTTGTGTTGTGTTGTGCTGTATTGCGTTGTGTTGTGTTGCAATTCCTTATCTTTATTTTCTTTAAATTTATGTAAATTCTTAGTGATTATCATTTCGTTTTGAATTGTGTTACATAAAGGCAGAGCAGTACTGGTAAGGTCTATTTCCAATCACTTGCCTGCAAGAATTGGTAACGGTCATTTCGCCTTGCGCACCAGGCTCCTCTTCTAGCACCTTGTCGCCTGGTATGGAGGCGAGCCCGRTATGCACCATGATTAACGTCAGCTTCTGAGGAAGCGACCATTTGCGAGTTCTTGATCTTTCTACTCTGCATTCCCAGTGGTCTGTTGCACAGTTTTCCTTATGAGAAAAACAAGAAAAAGTTGTGARTAGAAAATCCAATCAAACCATGATTTATGAATACTATTGAGGGGGAGTTCCGCAAGGAACAMAAATGGGGCCGTTATAAAAGGTATATATTCTTTGACTCTGATTGGATGAAAAAATCAAAATCTTACCTGTGATGCAACCGTATAATTCAATCCTCATACAAACGTGACTTCGCCATTCGACGGGGTGTACTCTGATGTAACGAGCGTTGATTGGACGTACGAAACGATTTATGACAACGATAAACTGGTCGAAGTTTGCAAGGAATATCTAAAGGGTTCAAGATAATAGTATTAAGAAAAATAACAACAACAGGGATGACAACAGCAACAGCGACAGACAAGAAAAATAACAACTGAAACAACAAGAATAATAACAGCAACAACAGCAATGATAACAACAGCAACGACAAGAAAAATAAGAGCTACAACAAGAAAATTAACGGCAACAACAGCAATGATAACAACAGCAACGACAAAAAGTAATAGTGAAAATAACAATAAAAATAATGATGACAATAACAACATCCACAAGAACAAGAACAACAAAGGCAACAGCAGCAATTATAACAAGAGAAGTAACAGCAATAATAACAACAGCACCGACATTATAAACAATAATATCAAAAACAACAACAACAGCAGCAGCACCCAGTAACAACAATGGCCGGACAACAACAAACCAATAACGTAAATAAAACAATGGCAACAGCAGCAAAAAATAAGAAGAGAAGTGACAGCACTAATAACAAAAGAACCGAATCACATCGAAAACAACAACAACATTCCTTAATAACAGTAAAAACAGCAGCAGCACCCAGTTACAACAATGACCGAACAACAACGACCCAATAACGTAAATACAACAATGGCAACAGCAGCAAAAAATAAGAGAAGTGACAGCACTAATAACAAGAAAACCGACATCACATCTAAAACAACAACAAAAACAGCAGTAGCACCCAGTAACAACAATAGCCGGATAACAACGACCCAATAACATAAATACAACACCTTAGTGGCTTTGCCTTCTCTGTAAGGCCTGAAGGTCTGTCCTCTAAGACTGGATGTTACATAGTACTTCTTGACCCACTGGACGGAGTTCGAGCGACCCTGGGTACCAATCCTCTTGACCCTGGCTGTCGTACCTAAGTCAATCTCTAACCACTGGTTACGGTTCTTATGACGTGCGCACCACGCGTAGTTGTTACGTAGACGTGCGTATTGCGGATGAACGCTGTATGATGATGCACGGATACGTTGCTTTGCAATTTGGAAGCTCTCGAGACCAAGAGGCATATCACAACGATCTGGTGTAAAAAGGGAAATATTCTTATCACTTGTTTCAATTTATCATCATATAGTAASAATAAGATAATTAAAATATTTATTATTTAACATTATATTAAAAAACGATTATCATTGTTTGAAGCAAAATATCATCATCCCCGTACAATGTCTTGAAGCAACGTTATGTTTTTAAGACGGTTCGCTATTTCTTCCGTTTCCGTGATACGCATTTCCGTAACTAATACGTAAAGCTTCGCAATAAAAAAAAAACGTAATTACGTAAGTATAACAGAACCCCTATTCATCTTTACGTATCGAGGAAACGTAATTAGTTCCCAAACGTACCCCATGCACAACCGTACAACTCCATACGAATAGCGATCTCTGAGTACCACGACCTTGGATACAGTCGGAAGTATTGACCGAGTAGAGCAGGGTCAAACGACTGGGTGGCCACAGACTTTTGATCGTAATTGGCGTAGACATTCTGCAAGGAAAGTGTTTGATGGTTTAATTAAAGAGGAAAACAAAGCAAAGAAYGCGTTTTGTTCATGAGTTTTTTGTTATGAGTATTGTGCTGTATTAGCCCTACTCGCAAATAAAAATGCTTGCTGCAGCCCTTAATTGAATGCCAAGTTATGTCATAATTCTCATTTTTTTATGAACAAAATTTATTTCTCAAAGGGACTATTTTCTATTGTTATGTAAACTTACCAAATACCCTCCCTTCCATTGTCGAAGGTAGCTAAAGAACACGCCGTCGGTACTGTATTTCATGTAGAAATATCGGACCCATTTTCGCGTGTCCTTGCGTCCTTGGATGGCGATACCAGTAATACTCATGGATCGTCCAGCGTTGACCTGAAGCCATTGGTTATGGTTGCTAGTTCGAGGCATCCATACACCCATATACCTTGAGACAAATATTCAATTGAAATACTTAGTAAATTGCTTCGACAGTATTTCATTTAAAGAGACATGGTCCACCAGCATTCAATGCGGTCGTGTTTTAGAGGTGACTTCGAATATCCATTCGCATTCCGTTTCCATCCGTCGTATAAAGCTCGAATCTTACAGTATCTCTATTCATATAGCATAAAAAGGGATAAAAAGTTTTTACTTAATAACGATATATTTTTTTTATTTTCAGGCATGATCAAAGCTCGAAAGGGATGCTGGTTTATCATGTTTCTTTAAGCCCTGTCTAATGACTTATATGATGTTTTTTCGGAGTGAACGCAACTATCACAAAAATGCAAATATTAAATAGACAATAGTCTCCTTCACGGTTATCTGCGCCATCTTAAAAGGTAGCCGTGCCTTTGCATCGAAGCGAGACAACCGTTGAGCGTGCAATGATAGATACCTGTGTGAATAATTGTCTGTAGGTGTGAAAGAAGGTTTCTATCATTGCACATTCAACGGTTGTCTCGCTTCGATGCAAAGGCACGGCTACCTTTCAAGAAGGCGCAGGGAACCGTGAAGGAGACTACTGATTATATATAACATAGGTTTCCGCTTTTCAGGACCTACAGAAAATGGACATCTTTGTATCATTTTCGAAACAAAAGAAACGATCGCAAAGGTTGTCGGATGCACATATGCCTTTAAACTAAAACGAAGACTTAAATGTACCTTCCTCTACGGTGGTTGTGCAATCGTGCAAGGAATGCTGGGTAGGCAGCACTTTTAGTCGATGACGCAGTAATAAGAGAGTTCTTGAGTTTCTTATTTTGAAGTCCGATAGGCGAAGCGCATCTTCGTGCTGTGGAAAAAAATAATGACAACATATGAATGTGGAGTTTTGTTTCTTCGTCTACAACAGAAATTCCTGTATTCTGCAGCTATAATCAACTTCAATAGCCAAATCGAAATAACTGGCTTACCTCGTGAGCAACCATAGAGCTCAAACCTAAGAGCAACATAACTGTTCCAGGTTTTTGGTTGAACACGGATGTAACGAGCGTTGATGGACGGCTCGATCCTGCGTGTCACGGTATGGTAAATATCGAAGTTGGCACGGAAGATCTACGCAAGCGAAAACGTTACAAGTTAATGAAGATTTTACGTACACGTATTGTTGAAAAATTAAAAAGATTATAAGAAGAGAATTGATATAAATCTTTAAAAATCATAAATGTATACAAATAAATAAATTGTTGACAAATTCAATTGCGACGTAGCTATGTTTTCTTAATGTTTACTAATGAGGTGAGAATATTAGAAAATATTATACAGCCGCTTTAAAAGAACCTTACCCTAAGCCGACCATAAGAATGATAGTTCCTGAAGCGTACTCCGTCATTGCTGTATTGCAAGATGTACGACTTGCAATACTGAGCACCAGTGTTGCGTCCTTGAGTCGCAATACCAGTAATCCTTGTCTTTTTCCCAAGATCCACTTGGAGCCATTGGTGAGCGTTACGGTGCTTAGCGAGCCAGCCTGCGGTCCTACTGTTTCTAGCGTACATTGCAAGTCTTGARCGCTCTGGTCCATAGTTGTAGTTGAGGCTGGACGATGCKCGGAAACGGCCYGCTGGGATTCKACGATCTTGAATACCAAGGGGCATGTAGCAGGAGCCTGTCAGGGAAGGAAAMATTACATGATTTAGCTTTTTWATTTTTTTMYTTTTTSGTATCRTTCTCATTTTTTAATTTCATCCMTTTAGGATCAMTGCTCTTGGCCGAGCGGAGGCCTTGGTCACAGTCTCTCYAGGTCATATTGGAKAACACAGGAGTCCCAAGAGCAGRAAGAAGAACGAAAAAGAAGAGACACCAACTGAGGTAGTTTCCCTCGCATCCGTTTCCGGTGTCAAAACGCGAAGCGTGGAGATTACGTCTCGTKTTTTGACACSGGAAAYGGATGCGAAGGAKACTRCAACGGAGKCTRATTGACTTACTTATATGRCATCCATAGAACTCAAATCTCATTGAAATGTGGCTTCTCCATCGCCATGGCTTAATRCGAACATACTGTGCTCTGATGGCRGGGTTAAAAGTGTTGTACTTGATTGTGTTTCTGTCTCTGTTAGCAGTGAAGAGCTGTGAGAATCAAACATTGAATTAGTCAAATCATATAGTAAATTTATGACTGTATTCAATCACGCCTGTTACACAAGAGCGACTTAACAAATTTGTCACATAACGGCAAAAAACTCTATTTTCACACTTCAAATATTAATAATTTTATGATTAAATATAAATGAAACAAAAATATGTGATACAGATATATTAAATATAAGATTTTTTGCCATGTGTTGCTAAAGGATAAATGAACGGGGATGTTTTCTAATCAGTCTTTAGGAATAAAGTTAATATTTCGTGGAATGAATTGACAAAAAATGAATAAAAATTGAATGTTAAGTGATTTGATCAGATCCCGAAATTCAGCTTAATTTATCAAAGAACACAGCGGTTATACTTGAAATGTTTATGTGCAAATCCTCAGTTATTTCCCATCTCCAATAAATCGTCATCTTACCTTCTTGGAGTTGAATTCTGTATACTCTGAGAADTGCACTCCATCAACACTGCTMTCGACGTAATACGACGTTACCCACTGGTCAGCGTCAGAGCGTCCTTGCGTAGCAACTCGTACGATCTTGCTTGGTCGTCTGAAGTTCACCTCGATCCATTGGTAGTAGTTGTTAATGCCTGCACACCATGATCGGTGTTGATTGAGGCGAGCCTTCCATGGAGCAAGATTATTGTCCCAGTAGGAAGAGGCCTTTACCATATGAGTATTGATACGACCATTTTGCATTCCCATTGCACGGTTACATTGGTGAGCTGAAGTTTGAAAGAAAAATTTTAATAATTATAATTATCAAAAACAAAATTAGTACTACAGACCCTTTGCATGTGACTTCAAAGTAGAGCGGATTTCGTATGAGTGGGAAACGGACGGTACTGTACTATGACCGTAATCGTACTGTAACCAAATTCTAGTGCCCCATTGGTTCACCAAAATTGTGCAGGCCAGGTGCGGTAACTGTGCGGTAACCGTGCGGTAACGGTGTCCCACTCATACGAAATCCGCTCTAGTTTCATCTGGAGGACAAAACAAAAGATTTTTGCCCTCTTGTAAACTAGAATTCATTGTTTTGTCCTCCATTTGGAGCTGTATTTTTATGAACGTCAAGATATCTATTGTTTTCAAATATATCATATTTTATCAGAATCATCATCACCATAATCTCCATAGCCAGATTTGAGCAATAATCATAATCGTAATCGTGATCATAATCACTCTCTCGCTACTATACCACAGTCCATACATAAGATATAAACATAAATAAAATAAATAAAATACAAACTATATTAAACAAGTAATACTTACACAGTCTGCATCCATACAGCTCCCATCTCAGTTCAATATGACTGTACCAAGTCTGAGGGTAAAGACGAACGCATCGAGCTTTGATGGTAGGAACAAGACGGTTGACATTCACGAAATATCTCTCCACGTTACCCGTGAACACGCGCACTTGTCCTCCAACTTTGTACTGTGTAAACTTCAAACAATTATTACTATACGACAGCGTATAGGTCTTGACGAACTGGTTGGCATCGTAGCGTCCTTGGGTTGCCACTTTGTAAATGCGTGCAGTAGTTCCAAGATCCGCCTGGATCCATTCGCCTCGTCTGTTGTATTTAGGATACCAACCACCTCTGTAGTTTCCGACATTACGTTCCTGGATTCTTGCCAATCGGGCTGAGTAATGATAGGAGGTATACGAGGAGGCAGACATCATGGAATTCCTGATTCGGTAGTCTTGGAAACCAAGAGGAGCCTCGCAACGGTCTGCAATGCAAACGCAAAACCTTATAGCGACAGATCATATTATTAACATGGTAATTAGAATTGTCATGAATGTAATCGCATGGCGTTTTAGAAGTAACATTTCAATAACTTTCTTGAAGGACATTTATTTTAATGGGTACTAAGTGTGCCATTTAAGGGCCAAGCGTCAACCTGCATTATTTTAGATTTTTCATATATGGAAAATGAGGCGACTTCAAATATCAATTCGCAATCCGTTTCCATCCATTGTTTTTAAGATCGAATCTTACAATATCTCCATTCATAGAACATAAAGGGATATTAATAAAGATTATAATGTAAGCGACGCTGGTTGACCATGAACTTTGGAAGCACAAAACATTTAGCCTTGTAACAGGGAATTGAAATTAGGACTACATACTTGCACGACAACCAAAGAGTTCAATCTTCATACAGATCCTAGATCGCCAGCCACGTGGATTAATCTTGACGTAACGTGCATAAATTGGAGGATTGAAAGCATTGGATTTTACCGTGTATTGGTCGTTGTTTCCTTTGAACATCTACAACAAGGAACAATACAGTCAAAGATAACAAAAAAAACTACACATGGACCACATACATTGTCCCATCTGTAGACCTCTGAAGCTTTTACGTCATATACCATACATTCAATGCATTGTAGGATATGTTTGGGACATAACATGAAGGATTTCTTTTGTTTTCATCAGAAATTGATCCCACATACTGTCACTGAAGAGGCTCGATATGAGAGAAGTATATTTGCCGAAGGATCACAGCGCTCACTAGATCACCATGGTAATGATTCCACAATGCATTGCAAATTAAGTAGTTGACGTAATACCATCAGAAGTCTATTATCAATGGTTTATATAAATATTCAATATATTACGCACTCTTGGATTGGTCGTAAAGCCCTGTGTTATTAGGTACATGCGCAAGAGAGACGCCATTAAATCTTAAGCGCGTTCTGATTGGTCAAAACTAGTGGGCGCGCTCTGCTGTATTCGTTGGACTGTTTCAATGAAATTACTCGCCCTCATCAAAAAATAAATAAAAAAATCTATAAAATAAATGGATTCCTTTTTCCTTGTGTCTGTACTCTAATATTTACACAGAAAACGTCAAGATGGTATTAAAGTATTTATAATGGTTCAATGTGATTTTCCATGAAATGAAGAAGTGYGGCAAGAAATTGAGTGACGYCATWAAGGATTACGTCATACCGTGTCAGCGTTCTTCCATCGGTAAATAGCCCAATGATTCCCGTCAACACTGTAATAGAGCCAGAATTGGGTAACCCACTGCCCGCTGTTATATCGACCTTGKATATCGATACGKGTCACCGTTGTCATGCGCAGTAAGTCGACTTTGAGCCACTGGAAGTAGTTGTTGTGTCGAGAGCACCACACGCCTTGGTGTCTGGATATGAATGAAATAGAGAAACCATGAATCGAAATTACTGTATTTTCATATCAAAGTGARGGAATTGCCCTATTGCACTATGACGTCACAGCATGTTTAAAGAGGGGSACGGAATCGACTAAAACAATGGAAATTTCGAATAAATATTTTTTTTCGCACAAAAAAATTGAAATTCAGTCTAGTTTTCGTATATTATGCATCACTGATTGCCCGTATTTATTTGTAGCATTTTGCTCTCGTTTATCGCTTTTAAATGTTCACCAAAAGGTGTTTTATCGTGTTTTTTTTCTCTCGATCTTCTTATCATTCTGACGACTTTGATCCAAAGCAGTAACAGAACAATATATAACTATTTCAAAAAAGGTTGTCGGATAAAATGGCAAATGTCAATGGTCGAGCGGCGATTGCACGACCGAAAGTAGCCATGGGTTTTGCTAGTTGAAATGCAATAACAACTGATTTGTACTGTGGTAAACATTGGATCCATTTAGTCTCCGTTTCTATGCAAGATGAATCCAATAAGTGAAATCTTGTTTATCAAAACAGTGTAATCACAGTCCCTTTCGGTCGTGTAATCTCTCTTCGACAATCGCCGTTCGCCGTTTTTAACTCCATCTCAAATATATCGTTACTGCCCAGCAAACTAGCCCGTTCAAAGCAGCTTCGATTCTCCCATTTCGGATATTAAAACATAAATAGCAATAAAGTGTAACACTAAAGTATTCTTCACGGAATATGAAAATCGCTTGAAATCAAMACTGAAAAACTGAAGTTCATCGTACAATTTATATTGTACACTGTTCAAATAAAGGTCATTATGACTGATCCTACCTTCCATGAGGCTTGTTGTTCAGTCTTGCAAGATAAGGCGCGTAAGCATTGTTCAAATACGATGCTGCAGTRATCTGTCTGTTCTTGATTGCCTTACTCCGCATTCCAAGTGGAGTACTGCAAGGCTTTCCTATAGATAACCATAGCCACAATAGTAAGCTTTAAGCTCACGTCATTTAATACAAAGTTCCGCAATTTGTGATATCCCATAGTTTTGTGAGTACTTCGTGCTAYATTTTCACTACAAAATTCCAGGATTTTCAAGTACTTTTTAAGTTCATTTTTAAGATATTTTTTGATGTTTGCAGACGTTTCAAGTGGCAATTTTAAAAAAAAGCCACATTTCAATCCAAAAGCTAACAATCAACATGCCAATTTTATCAGATTCAAGGAGTTTTCAAGGAGTTTCAGCGATGTTCCCCATTTTGAATGGCTTTCAAGCGCACTTGAAAACGAGTTTTCAATTCCAGGAGTTTTCAAGGACTTCAAGGAGTAGCACAAGCCCTGACTAAATCATGAATAACACTGCGATGTGCTCTTGCACTTTATCGTGTGGTGCAGTATGGAAAGTCAATATACAAATAACTTACTGTTACAGCCAAAGAGTTCAACTCTCATGGACTTCCAGCTGTAGTAGTGGACTGGATAAATACGAACGTAGATTGCACGGAATGGACGCACAAACTCTTGGAAAACTACCGAATGCCTGTCTGTGTTGCCTTTGAAAAGCTGGAAGAAACAAAAGATTAGAACTTACTGTGTATTACAAACAAAAATAATAAAACAGTTGTCATAAAAACCTATATACAGTCAGCTTTCGCCTTACAGACACCTCGATATTACGGACTCCTCGATATTACGGACACAAAATACTGAATCTCAGGAGAAAAATACAAAAAAAAAATGCGTGAAAGTAACTCCCGTCAGTGCGGACTCTCGCTACTTCGAACACTAAATTACGGTCCTGAGGGTGTCCGTAACAGCGAGAGTTGACTGTAACAAAACAAGTACAGTCAACTCTCGCCTTACGGACACCCAGCTATTACGGACACCTCGATATTACGGACACGAAATACTGAATCCCCGGCGAAGAACACAAAGAAATAACTGAAAGTAACTCCCGTTATTACGGAGTCTCGCAACTTCGAACACTAAATTACAGTCCCGAGGGTATCCGTAATAGCAAGAGTTGACTGCAACAAAACAAGTATTAAGTCATGTACCTTTGTGGGTGGAGCACGTCGTCCCTTGACACGTGGTCTATCACTGTAAGGCGTGAACTTGACACCTGTTGTACTATAGTGCACTCTGTATGTCTTGACCCACTGGTTGGCGTCATATCGACCTTGGGTAGCTATTCCTTTCACTGTCGTTATATCAAGAAGATTGATCTAGGGAACAAGAAAATGTTATTACTTAAGAATTATAAAACGGCGCGCGTGTCTCTGTCCTCTGTACAAACACGGTGGGAGTTGAAAAACAAGAGAGAAGCAAGCTTAGAAACATGAGCGAAATTTTTCCGGTAAGCCGTGCCTCTGTCCTCTGGTATAAACACGGCTGTCATCCATTCAGAGCGCGCGTTATATATCAAAAGCTTTATAACATACATTTGAAAACATCTTTTTATCACACTTGTGTGAATTCTAGCGCGCTGATTTTCTGAGTAGTACGTCTCAATAAGAGGACATCACGACTCGCGCGCGCTCAGTTGAAAGAAAACAATGATTTCCCTAATTTTTAGACTAAAAATCTAGTAAAAAGCTAATTGCAAACGGCTTTTTCGTTGTATATTCTCTTATTTTGAGATATCAATAAAAAAATTGAGAATGGAATGGCTGTATTCTACACGAGTCTCAAAAACGTCATTTCCAGGAATGACGTAATCTTACCTGGAAGTATTGAGTAGCTGCATGATTCTTTGGTGTCCAGGACCATCGGTGGTGCAGACGGCCATGATTAGGCTGTAGATACCAGTTATAGTATGTCGAGGCAGTTAGACGTCCATTACGTATACGTTTGTCCTCCATACCGAGGGGCATGAAACACCTGTCTATAAAGGTAAAGTATTTTTGTGAGATTTACTACCTTCTGTACGTCTTGGAGTGAACGTTATGACATCGACGCCATCATAAAAAAAATAAAAAATAAAAATAAAAAAGCTTCCCTCATTAGTTTCTCTCCTTCATCCATTCAACATGGTGACTTTCTTTATTTTTCGAGGGATTCTTGGTAATAAGGTTAGGTACTTAAGGGTAGACCAGGTGGTTTGTCTATCGAGAAACACCCCCCCCCCCCTCCTCCCTCCCTCCCAGCAAGTGGCAAGCCATCCAGTGACAGGCAGTAGATCCGGGGGTACCATTAGAGTAATAGGARTACACCCCCCGCCCCAAGCCTGATAGTAATCTAGAGTAGATTCAGGGAAATAGGTTGGCTACAGAAGAACAACCCAACCACCACCGTAACAATTGTTATTAAATATTGTAATAGAATTTAGCTTACCTTCAGCGCAACCGTAAAGCTCAACCCTCATTGAGATATGACCGTACCATGTGTATGGGTGGACACGGAAAAACTGACATCTAATTCGTGGAAACAAACGATGTTGTCGCACTGAATTCTGGTCCTTGTTTGCATAGAAGTACTAAAAAGACATACAACAAAGAGATAAGCTGTCATTGATTTTGGAAGAACATGGTATACTCGACGAACAGAAGATAATGACACCAATGAATGAAGTGTGCGCCCTAACCTGGCTTTAAACATTAACTTATACTAGCTAAAACACTGTCGCTTTCTCCTACTCTAAGAGACAATATAAAAAATCCACATTCACACTGAAATAAAGGAATGAAGAATTTTTTTACAGTGCTTTATTATGGAGGGCGACTGTACAAGGTCCATTGATTGCTAGGGTACAGAACTCACTCCTTTTTGCAAAATAGACACGGCATTAACACTCAACGGTTACAAACTCGCCACAAGGAAAATAATATTTCTATTTATAAAAAAAAAATCGTTCTTAGACACACAATATGATTGGTTCAAAACCGTGTAACTTTCTGAATTATAAGGCCAATTAAATGAGTGAAACTGAAACTATTTTATTGCCCTTTTTTGCTTTTAACTTGACAGAAAAAAGGTGCTTGTAATAAAAAGATAAATAAGTATAGAAAATATGCAAATTTTTGTAAAAGAACAAGAGCCAGAGGTCYAAATTAACTAATAAGTTTTCTAGTTAGCCCCCTGTTATTTGGTGTTACATTGGAAAAGGTCTAAAAGATCTAACATGATCAAATACTTACTCTTTTCGTGTATGAGTTGGGAGCCTTGTAGTCAGTGAATACAGCCCCGTCTTGACTGTAAGACAGAGTGTATCTCTTGACCCATTGTCGAGCGTCTTTACGTCCTTGAGTAGCAATCTTTGTGATACGTGTTGGTCGACCCAGGTCCATTTGCAGCCACTGACGGTAATGGTCGTTAATACGAGAACTCCATGACCTGGCAGAGTGTAGACGAGCCATTTGTGGAGAGAGAGCGCTGCTGTGGTACGATGAGGCTGTGATTCTTGCGTTGCTGATGCGACGGTTTTGCATGCCAAGTGGGACATTGCATCGTTTTCCTGGGTAGAGATTATGGATTATTAATTATTTATATTTAAAGGAAAATAAAGACRATAATGATTGGTGATAATTGGTGATAGATAATCGCCGTTCCTCGCAGCCCGAGTGCTGAATTACGAAGGACACAGTTCACGACACTTTGTCACGAAATACTTTACCTGTCACGCAACCATAAAACTCGACTCTCATAGAGATATGGCCGTACCACGTGACTGGGTGTACTCGGAAGAAACGGCCATTGATTGGTCGACGGAATTTATTCACCACAGTGATGTAGAAATCGTAGTTTCCATCGAATATCTGACAGAGAAAAATGACAAATTAAAAAAA